ATCCCTCATCTCTTTTAACACTATAGGTAAGATGCCATCAGGGCCCTGTGATTTATAAAGAAAGTGATTGTTTAATGAAAAACAATCATACCATAGCATGAAGGAACTAATAACTTTATTTCTAAATTTCTTAGTTTGTACAGCCAAGAATAAGATGTAGCCACAAAAAATCCTCCTTGATAAGGCATTGGAAGATGGACGGATGCCGTACATGGGACTTTCTGACTGTCAAAACTCACTGAGTCTTTCTTTGGCAATGGGCAGGTCTTATTGATAAATCATGCATACAACATCGCGAAATACATACAAGAAAGAGGTGGCAGCAATTTAGCATAATTTTACAAATGATATTGAATTAAACAATTTATTCCACGCAAGCTTGTCACAATGTTTTTGAATATTTAAAAAAAAAAAATTTTGTAATGACAAATAAAAAATGTTATGTGTTCTCTGGATGAGATTGAGATTCAGAAATGTAAAAAAAATTTAAATAAACTGTTTTGAAGATAAGAAATGTGTGGGGATTTATTTGGGCCATGTCTGGCCCAGGTGTAGCTGAAAAAATTTTGGGAACTGAAGCGGTGTTCATCTAGCCATCCAACTAGATAACAGTAACTTTTTAGAAAACAGAAGAAATTATTACTAGTTTTTAATTGTGTTACTCTTAATTTGCACTAATGTTAAATTGTGTTTTTTGTTCTAAGCCAAAGTACACTTGCTACCCAGAGAAACAGCTTTAAACATTTCTTTGGACTTTTGCACAGTACTGTATATTTAAACATATACTAGATAATCTTGAAAAAGAATAATCATTAAAATTGCAAAACTTATTAGGTTTTTTTCCTGTGACAGAGTAATAATGTTTTAGTGAGATTTGAACTCCCTGGCTATAATATCCGTACCAAGTTGAAGTTAAGAAAAAGCCTGATCATAATCAAGCTGACTGTCGAAGTAAGAATTGAATGTGCGTGACGTGATGCTGGTATTAATATTGCACTATAGTATGTGATATAATATACTACAGCCATTTTTCGAATTTGGTACAAAATACCTCACCTCGCTTTGTGATATCATTCGACACAGGCACCAGTTTTCATGTCAGTGGAAAACCAACACCTTGAAGCACTGTACTTTTGGTACCTTTTTGAAGTACCAAAAGTACAGTACCTGGTGCAGTGGAAAAGCACCCTTTAGCTGAGCGGTGAATTGGACAGCTTTACAGTGCTGTATATTTCATACTTGCTGTACGTCCTCCGCTATGCTCCAAGCTTCTTCTGTGTACCAGCTTCTTTTGTTACTTCTGGGTCAAAGCCCAGAGGGGGAACCTGTGGAGCATGCAGAGAGCACCTAGGCCAGTTTGAGTCTGATTGAGTGTTTACATGCAGGAGTAAAGCGACTCCCAGTCGCATTATCTGGGTGTCTTAAGACTGACTAATTAGTCTGACTTGGAGAAATTGGATTTAGTGTGATTACATGTTTACATGTACTTTAAAAGTCTGGTTTTAATCAGACTAACACAATAATTTGATTTTCTTAGTGTGCATGTGTCGCGTCACTCACGATCCCACCCACTAACTAACCTCCTCCCGAGCCTCAGACAATACGGCAGTACCTCAGCCTCCGAAGGTAGCAGCTCACCACACGACTATGTGTGTCACAATGATCCTTAGAACCTATGTTGTGGAGGCTATTGTCGCCGGTAGGGTCTCCAATGCAAATATTTCCTATAGGTAAGGGTCCAGAGTAAGGGTGATTTAAATAACTCTTTTGCAGTATATAACTCCCGGACCGGATACCGGGACCCCACCCTGGAGCTAGGCCTGGGTGTGGGAGCCTGCTGGTCAGGCCTTTACCCATGACTGAGCCTTGTGGAACCATTCTCCTGTGGGCCAAACACCAAAGGAGGAGCCATAAGGGCCAGGTGCACTGAGTGGCAGAGGCCTTGGCGGACCAATCCTTGGCTAATGGCATTGGCTTTAGGGACATGGAATGTGACTTCTCTGGTGGTAATGGAGCCTGACCTAGTATGGGAGGTAGAGGACAAACTGTCTAGATATAGTCAGACTCACCTCAACACACAGCACAGAAGATCTGCAGTCTTTTCCACTCTGGAGCTGCCTTAGATGAGAAACGTTGGGCAGATATGGATATATTCATTGTCCCTAAGCTCATTGGTGCCTTTTTCTGCAGCAACCCCTAAACCTGGTGGTGGATACCAATGGTAAAGGGAGCTGTCACGCCGAAGAAGGAGGCCTTCTGTACTTGATTCGCCTGTGGCATTCTGGAAATTACTGACAGCTACCGGCAAGCCAAGAAGGCAATGTTGCTGAAGAAAATAACTAGGGTGTGGGTGACAGGACTGATCCCCATCTTACCCCATTCAGTCACTTAACTCCCTACATGAGTGAGGGAAAAACAGAGTCTGGGAATGACAGGCAGATCCATGCAGCGCTACCATTTATGTAGCCATTGTCTGGTCAATCATGGTGAAGAGAGAGCTGGGCTGAAAAGTGAAGCTATCAAATTGCCTCGGAAATCTACATGGAAGAGCTAGAGGAGGTGGCTGGAGAGAGAGAAGTCTGGGCATCTCTGCTTTGACTATTGTCCCTGTCACCAGGACCTGGATAAGCAACAGATAATGGATAGATGGATCAACACTCCAGTGTAGACAACACTGCCTCTTCAGAAATAAGAAAATTATATCCTTCAAATGTACACCATAGACATTTATCATCATGTCCGTCAGAGGTGGCTGCTTACCAAAAAATTTCAGTGAAGCAAACTCCAGACTGATCTCCCCCAGTATAATTTCAAATCATTAATTTGTTGTTTCTAGTAAGAATTCAATTTGAATGAACATTCTGGATATCTGAAATGACAATTGTGGATAGGAAGAATGTCATTGTGGATATCTGAAATGCTCTTTTTGACTAGGAAGAATTGAATTACGGATATCTGCAATACATATCCAGTCTAGCGATTAAATGTCAAAACGGCCACTTATATTTTTTAAAGATTTAAAGATATCTTAAATAGAATTGTGACTAGGAGAAATAAAGTTTTAGATATCTTGAAATACATTTTCTACTAGTAAGAATGCAATTGTGGATATCTGTAATTGCCATTCTGACTAGTAAGAATATAATTTGGACTAGGAGAAATGATATTGTGTATATCTAAAATGTAATTACGGATAGGAGTGTGACTTGATTAAATGTTAAAACGGCTTGCCATAAGCACGTAGAGAAGGATGGGTTTTCAGCTCATGAACGCATACGCGCTCGTGGTTTTTAAGCGCGCAAGTTTTGGCACTAATTTAACGCCATACAAACAAATCCAAAAATCAGCAGAGGTCTATAACAGGAAAACAGGGCAAGTAACCGAATCCAGAACACTAGACAAAGAACATGAACAACATGAGCACAAGCAGGGGTCACACATATAAAGTATATAATGGAACAAATGTTCAGTATAGTGTGATACTCGATACTTCACAATGAGATCACTGAAAGCAGGTGCTTTTAATCTGTTTCTAATTAATACAGTTAATGAGGTACAGATGGACCTGTAGCATTCAGGGGAGGTGAGGCTGTCACTGACTGGGCCTGGTTAGGGGGAGGAGTGACATCTGCATTATTAGACCTGAACTACAATATTTACAGTGCAACATGAAAGCGAAAGCACAGAAGCAGAAAAACAGAACGACAATAATACCAGACACAGGAAAAAAAACAGCATGGGAAAAACTTACCAGGTCATGGTGAATGGAATAAAAGGAGAGAAAATAACAGTTGATGTTGGGAATTCAGAGGATCAGATGAAGAACATGACTGTTTTAGAGCTAAAGAAGAAAATTGCTGTGAAGCTGCCAGGGACAGCAGGTAACTTCCTGTGTGTCAAATACTCTCCATTGGTCAGTGAGAAGGCGATGTGCTTTGTTGCACTAAGGAAACATAGTTTGGCGCTCGTCAATCAGATTGCCAGTTTGAATTCCCTGCTATTGTACCTTTCAGACAGCTACTTAACTTAAAAGTGTTTAATAATTGGTTAAAATTAATGAATGCCAGTTCAAAATGATCACCCAAAATCCCTAATCTGATTGTTTTTACCTTTTTTAATGTTTTAAATATCGTGCCGTCCTTCCATGCTTGGACTGCTTAACAAATATTTTTGCTTCTGCGACGTTTCTCTGACAGTGGACGACCTGAGCAACCTGAGGCTGATTTTCACCGACAAACAGCTAGAGGATAACTGTCAGCTCTCCTCTTATGGGATCCAGGACAAGTCCGTCATTCAGTTGGTGATCCGATTGCCTGGGGGGGCACAGCTTCCCCAATGAAGTACTGCAAAGATTCCTACAGCGAGCAGCAATATGCACCTGAACAACACTGTCTAGCACTGCAGAATGAGGGAATGATTCCTGTTAGTGGGAAAATGGACAATATTCTCCTGGCATGGGTTAACAATATGGGCTTTTGGGTACATGCCCAGGGGGACCTCTTCCAAGGGGGGGGGGCATGCATAATTCTCCATTAACCACACCCCCCCCCCCCCGCCCCCCCGGTCCCATTCACGGATGTCTTTTAACAAGTTAGTGTGATTTAATACCCAGTTTATTTCATATGATTGCATATTAATCTTGCAGTGCTGTCCCGGATGTAACATTTTCCTCTTGTTAGACGCATTCTGCAATTTTCTGAACCACCAATCAGCTCTGTTTTTGTCATCATGTGTGCTGTTGGCCAGAGGCACTTAATATTCTATTTCCAGTCTTGATGATAACTCCTCATTTTTCTGCTAATAAGTATTTAAATCAGATACTGCAAAATTAAAACCATAAATAACAAGACAAAAAATACAGTCTACTTTTTATTAAAAGGTTGCTGATATATAATGCAAATGCAAATATATGCAAACCAATATATAAAAGTATGTAAACACAAGAAATTGTTTTTAACTCGTGTTTTCAAGCACATGAAAAAAGCAGGTCTTTATATCAAATTGAAGTCTTTTTTATTTATGAAAATTTTGTTAAATTACTCAGGAAACAGAGCTCGGGGGAGACCCAGTTGCGGACAACATAGTTTATTCACAAAAAGCAAACAGGATCAATAGGCAGGATCATGGTCGGGGTTACAGAGCAAGAGGGTCAAAGCCAGAGGGGTCAGTCCAACACGGGAGCTTGGGACAGGAGGCAGGTACGCTGGGAGAAGCTGGGGAATAGGAACAGGATTGGAGCGCGACGGGCAGGGCGGGCAGGGAGGGCAGGGCGGATCAGGGCTAAACGGGAGACTAAAGCAGGCGCTCAGTAAAGGACATGAACAATACGTCACACAGAGTGGGAGGCAGCCTAGGGAAATATCCACAGATATCCTACAGATATTGCGACTGTGATTTGATTTGCAATATATATTTTTGAAAGTTAAGCTTCAGTTCCGTTTTCAGTGTATAATACATTTAAAACATATGATACAGCATTACTGGGACTTTCATGCAATGCAGTGCCTAAAGTTTACAGAGAAAGCTGCAATAATCAAACACACTGAGGCAGCAGAACTTACAGTATATGGAGAGCAGTCAGAGGAAACCTGGCAGACTTGTTAAAACCAACAAGAAGGCCAAAAAGTACAGAATAAAGGAGAATTGCAAACTCCTTTCCTGATAGATTAGGATCCTCTTCACACTAACACAGAATGAGGGTAGAGTGATGTGTGGTTTTTGATTTTTTCAAAAAAGCAACTTGTTCCATCCAATGAGGTAAAACGGTGTCTGAAGTACAAGGCCTCGTTTGCAGAAAAGGCAACAATGAGTCCTACTAAAAGAAAGTCAATGGATGAAGATGGTGATGGTTCAGGGTTAGTTACATTTTAAAATCATATTGCATGAATTGTACTTTTAAAAATAGCACTGTACTCTTGATGCCTATTTCCTGAAAGCCAGTCTTGCATAGGAATAAGGTACATAGTTTAAAGTAACCAATGTTATCATCAGGTTTTATTTCATCTATATTTTAATTACTTGTTTGTTTGTTTGAATTATGACTTTACAAAGGAAAAAATATTACTGGAAATGTTCACAAAGTGTTTTTGTGTTCTGTATGAGTTTTTTCAGAACACCTTGTTACACATTAAGAACATTTTTGAGTATACTCCTAATATAGTGCAAATTATTTTGAATTCCCTTTCAGAAGAGCTTAATAAACTACATGGGGTGCTTGAAATGCTGCCCATGTACTAGTAGTGAACTGTTTCCAATCAGCTCATTATATTTTAAGGACATGTTTAGAATAGTAATAATGAGCTGCTGTCATAGTAAAAGAATGCAGTGAACATATTTTCACATAACCAAAGATGTGTTCAGAGTGTGCCTTAAGTAAAACTTAAGTAATATTATGAATGAATTTTAATTCGCACATTTCCATTAGATTACACTTACTTCATTAAAGTTGTTTGATTTTAACAGAAGAAATATACAACTTTAATGTATTTTTTTTCACCATATCATCACGCTTACCTATATCCCACTGACAGATACTGGTAATGTGTGATCAGGTTCAGTTCTCTAAACCGGAGGACATAATTTGTTCAGGTGGGTGGTGGCTGGATGATTGATGTGTACATGGAGATTCAGGTGGTGCTAGAGCTGATCCATGCATCAGTAATATATATATGGAGTTATTTTGCTGTTGGGGCTGTGAGCAAGGTCCTTAACCACCAGCTGCTCTACATCCGTTGGCCTATAGCTGGAGACCTGCCTGTCATCAATATATTTGCTAGTTGTGTATTTCACAAAGCGGCTGTAGTGGCTACATTTAATTTATTTAGCAGAAGCTTTTATCTAAAGCAGCATAGTTATTTAT